ACGAATGAATGAATGAATGAATGAATGAATGAATGAATGAATGAATGAATGAATGAATGAATGAATGAATGAATGAATGAATGAATGAATGAATGAAAACTGTAGGACCATTTTCTAGTACGTAACATTCCCCAATACTAACAGTTTACTACCCCCTTCTATCCGTCAGAAAATAGTTACAAATATGTATTTAGTTCTGAATACCTCACGTTAATAAAATAAAAAAACAAAAAAACAAACCCACCTCCACTTCTCAATGAATAGGGAAAACAATAAAAGTTCAATCAAAATAACACCACAGACCGACCAATTTGTTCACCCCCCCCCCCTAACTCTCACACACACACACACACACACACACATGTAATAATAATAAATAATAATAATAATTAATAATAATAAATAATAATAATAACAACAACAACATAACAATAATGGTGGTAGTAGTAATACTACTACTACTGCTAATAATAATAATAATAACAATAATAATTATTATTAATATTATTATAATAAAGATAAAAAATTATTATTATTATTATCATAATAATTATGGTGATAGTAATACTAAGGACACAAAAAACCCAATGCAAAACACAGAAATGATATGCAATTTGGTTGACACTGTCTTCAACATTAAACAAGGACAATCACATAATACAACAAGAAAAAAAATAGTATGTAAAATTATCTTTTTTAAAGAAAAAATGGCTGCAGCTGCAGCGACAAAAAGTTTTTAGAAATGAAAACAACAGGACGGTATGATGGTATCTATTCAATGAAAATGCAATGTACATGTAACAGCAAATACGACAGTAGCGACAACAAATTAAGTCATTATCATCCTTAAGGTAATATACTATATCTGTTTTCCTACGTAAGGCCTGTACCTATAATATTATGAGAGCAAACCATATAACCTCTTTGAAGCAAACATACCGCATGCGCTCTCGTGTATTCAACACGCAAACAAAAAAGTATACACTGTGCGGGTATTATTAACACACACATATAACACACACACACAAACACACACACAAACACAATACACACACACACACACACACAAACACACACACACACACACACACACACACACACACAAAAGTGCGAGCGCACACGTACACACATACAAATAAGCAGACGTGCATTCGTCTTACAGAAAATAGAGTGTGTTGGTGACCATGGGCAAAATGGCCATTCGGCGTGATGACTTTATATAGTGGGCGACAGGAAAGAGAAAGACATGTGAATGTGTGCATGACTATGCTCAACATCAGTATAGCTGGCCTTAGAATTGGAGGAAAAAAAAACACACTAAAAAAAAGCAACCAAAAAAAACAACAACCCAGATGTCGGTGATTATTTACACCATGACAGCAGCTCTGTACTCCTTCTCTTATATACAGTGGGACTGTACTCCCTCTCTTATATACAGTGGGACTGTACTCCCTCTCTTATATACAGTGAGAAATAATTACATTAAACAAACAAATACATACAAACATACATGAAAAAGAAACAAAAGGAAAAAACGAACGAAGAACAAACAAATGAAGACATAA